TGCAATGCATTTCCCAAGAAGCTCACGAGTAAGGAGAAAGTGGCTTGGAACAGCTTTGTCGCAGTGGTTTGTGGCTTCCTGGGCAATCACAAGGTCGAAAACTATGTGGAGCTGGTTGAAACTCTGGTGAAGAACTACGGCACAATGGGCTGTAGGATGTCCCTCAAAGTCCACATCCTTGATGCTCATCTTGATAAATTCAAGGAGAACATGGGAGCATACTCGGAGGAGCAAGGCGAGCGCTTCCACCAGGATATACTGGACTTTGAACGCCGCTACCAAGGACAGTATAACGAGAACATGATGGGAGACTACATTTGGGGGCCTATTCGTGAAAGTGATTTACAGTATAATCGTAAATCTCGAAAAACTACTCACTTCTAAATCTTTTAAAGTCATGTTGTATTACTTTAGTATAAATACATGTAAAATTTTATTCATATGTTTTTTTCTGACGTTATGTGAACGAAAATACACAAATTCGATCCTTTTCTCATTGAAAATAGGTAAATGTCAAAATATCACTGTCCTGGTCACAAAAGCAAAGTTTGTGGGGCATAATAGCCATTTTCTAGACTTTTTAGGCATAAGCAATTACGAAATAACACTTACTATCCAGGAACCAAAATTGTGTCACATAGTGTTTTCGCAGTCAAGTTGCTTTGCCCCTAAGGACTTTGTCGAGAAAAGCGACGACATTGATAATTTCCCGGGATCATTCAGGGTTGCTTAAATCCAACTGTACACAGAAACCCTTTTGTAGCGCCCACGCATTACGAGTCCTACCCAGTGCCGGATTAAGATAGTGCGGGGCCTGTAGCACATGTTATAAAGAGGCCCTAGCTATATTTAAAAAAAAAACACAACACAAATATTAAAACACATTTTTTTACTTGCATAGTAATGTCATCGTATTTTTGTCATTTGCTATACAGCCAGATAATACGACAAATCGCTAACCTTAAACACCCGGTCGTTCGTACAAGTTGAAGGCGGTATAGTACTATAGTAATATAGCAAGTGCAGTATCACTGAACCGGAATTGATAGCTTGAACGCATTTAGCGTGGGGCCATTCAAAATTCGGGGGCCCGTAGTTACTACATATGTAGCTACTTTTGCTACTAGGATAATCCGGCACTGGTCCTACTAATGGCATCGAACCCAAGGTACCGTTGGCTATCGCCAATTACAATTCTTCAGAGGCCAAACGCAACACTGAAAAGCGCAACGTCTTCACGTGCACGCCCATTCGTCGCAACAGAAAAGCCCAGAGCAGGATATTGCTTCAACATGTTCGTACAAAAGTTGGGTTAGGGCTGTTGGGAGGGGTGGCTGCCAGCTCTATGTGTGCGTGTTTGAAAACTGGGATGTACTACTACTGTGCACCTTGGTGTGCCTTGGAACAGATGCGGTGCGTGCTTGCACTACCCCTCCGTGCACTCTCATCGGCTCCCATTGAGCTCTCCCCACGGCTGCACTCTACCTGTCCTACCATTACCCACGTGGGACTACCATCCCTGCACTACCACAACGTGCACTACCCTCCGTGCACTCTCATCGGCTCCCATTGAGCTCTCCCCACGGCTGTACTCTACCTGACCTACCATTACCCACGTGGGACTACCATCCCTGCACTACCACTACGCGCACTACCCTCCGTGCACTCTCATCGGCTCCCATTGAGCTCTCCCCACGGCTGTACTCTACCTGACCTACCATTACCCACGTGGGACTACCATCCCTGCACTACCACAACGTGCACTACCCTCCGTGCACTCTCATCGGCTCCCATTGAGCTCTCCCCACGGCTGTACTCTACCTGACCTACCATTACCCACGTGGGACTACCATCCCTGCACTACCACTACGTGCACTACCCTCCGTGCACTCTCATCGGCTCCCATTGAGCTCTCCCCACGACTGTACACTACATGACCTACCATTACCCACGTGGGACTACCATCCGTGCACTACCAAAACGTGCACTACCCTCCGTGTACTCTCACTGCCCACTGAGCACTACCCACGACTGTACACTACATGACCTACCATTACCCACGTGGGACTACCATTCCTGCACTACCACTACGTGCACTACCCTCCGTGCACTCTCATCGGCTCCCATTGAGCTCTCCCCACGACTGTACACTACATGACCTACCATTACCCACGTGGGACTACAATCCCTGCACTACCAAAACGTGCACTACCCTCCGTGTACTCTCACTGCCCACTGAGCACTACCCACGACTGTACACTACCTGACCTACCATTACCCACGTGGGACTACCCTCCCTGCACTACCACAACAAGCACTACCCTCCCTGCACTACCACAACAAGCACTACCCTCCCTGCACTACCACAACTTGCACTACCCTCCATGCACTACCCTCCCTGCACTACCACAACAAGCTCTACCCTCCCTGCACTACCACAACTTGCACTACCCTCCCTGCACTACCACAACAAGCACTACCCTCCCTGCACTTCCCTCCCTGCACTCTCATCGGTTCCCACTGAGCACTCCCCACGACTGTACACTACCTGACCTACCATTACCCACGTGGGACTACCATCCCTGCACTACCACAACAAGCACTACCCTCCCTGCACTACCACAACAAGCACTACCCTCCCTGCACTACCCTCCCTGCACTCTCATCGGCTCCCACTGAGCACTCCCCACGACTGTACACTACCTGACCTACCATTACCCACGTGGGACTACCATCCCTGCACTACCACAACAAGCACTATCCTCTCTGCAGTACCAACACTGCCCTACCCTCGATGCGGTACCCGCCCTGAACTACCATGCACCAGCCTCTGTGTTACTACCAACACTGCACTACCCAAAATTCACAGTTTATTACCCACACTACAATGTCCTTCCCGCACTTACCTTTGAACTACCGCAAGATGCACTACCATTCCTACACTACCACAAGATGCACTACCGTTACTGCACTACAAGATGCATTACCATTCCTGTACTACCACAACTTGTACTACCGTTACTGCACTACCACAACATACACCACTACCATTTCTGCACTAGCCACAACATGCACTACCATTCCTATACTACCACAAGATGCACTACCAGTTCTACACTACCCCACTATGCACTACCATTCCTATACTACCACAAGATGGACTACCAGTTCTGCACTACCCCACTATGCACTACCATTCCTATACTACCACAAGATGTACTACCAGTTCTACACTACTCCACTATGCACTACCATTCCTATACTACCACAAGATGCACTACCAGTTCTACACTACCCCACTATGCACTACCATTCCTATACTACCACAAGATGCACTACCAGTTCTACACTACTCCACTATGCACTACCATTCCTATACTACCACAAGATGCACTACCAGTTCTACACTACCCCACTATGCACTACCATTCCTATACTACAACATGCACTACCAGTTCTACACTACCCCACTATGCACTACCACAACATGCACTATCATTTCAACACTATCACAAAAATGCACTTCCACGTCTGCACTACCACAAGATGCACGAACACCTCTCCGCACTACCGCATGCTGGTGCTGAATGAATAATTTTAAAATAAAATAACCACCCCCAAACTCTCCCCATCCCTCCATCACAACAATGATGGAGCAGCTGCACCGCAGTGCGTGAGCGAGGCACACAGAGGCCGCATGTGGTGACGAATGAATAATAATTCATTCATAATTATTATAATTATTATATATTTTTATTTAAAGCTTTCGTGACTGCAGGGATTAATATTCTTGGTTCTTTCGGTAAAGTCACGTAGAAGGGAAACAATTAAATAATAAAAATATAAAACAATAACATTTTCACATCGTGAGAATTTTATTGTTTTATATTTTTATTATTTTATTGTTTCCCTTCTACGTGACTTTACCGAAAGAACCAAGAATATATAATTATTATAATTATTCATTCACAATAATTATTATAATTATTATTCATTCATATTGATAATTATAATTATTATTCATTCAAAATTATTATTCATTCATAATTATTATTATTCATTCATAATTACTCCACAGCCGACTTGGTGATCCCGGGCGAGTGCTAAATGAATGAATCGGACAACGCAATGAGCGGCCGAAGGCTTTCCTCGCGAACGACTGAAAGAATTATGTAATAATGAAGGCGATAACAAAATGAATGACTTCATTGATGAACGATTCGGCGACCAGTAGAATTACTTAACAAAAATAACAAAGAAACATATATTAAATTACCGAATGAACGCTCGAATAATTAAGCGCGTAGATAAATGAACGAACGAATGAAATAAGTGAACGAGTTGCTGCGTGACGTGAGAGGTGACGCGAATCCAAACGCGGAAGCGGCCGGTGGTGACATCCTCCTGTAAACACGAGGAGCCGGCTCCTGCGTCTACCACCTCTACCTCATCCTCCACCACCACCACTTCACATAGCCACAGTAACAACCCCACCACCACTTCACATAGCCACAGTAACAACCCCACCACCACCTCACATAGCCACAGTAACAACCCCACCACCACTTCACATAGCCACAGTAACAACCCCACCACCACCACTTCACATAGCCACAGTAACAACCCCACCACCACCACTTCACATAGCCACAGTAACAACCCCACCACCACCACTTCACATAGCCACAGTAACAACCCCACCACCACTTCACATAGCCACAGTAACAACCCCACCACCACTTCACATAGCCACAGTAACAACACCACTCCTACATTCACTCCCAGCTTCGGCCAATCAAGACGACACCACCACCCAAACACCACCAAACACAGCTGTAGCTGTAGCAGCTGTAGCGATGTCGACCGCGGTGATGGTGCTGTCGGCGCTGGGCGGCTACGTCCTCACGTCCGCGCTGCTGCTGCGGGTGCCGGGGCTGCTGCACCAGAGGAAGAGACCTCGCTTCACCTGCAGACACATCTCACACAGGGGCGGTGAGATTCTTCCTCACTACATCTCCCTCACTACATCTCCCTCGCTTCACCTGCAGACACATCTCACACAGGGGCGGTGAGATTCTTCCTCACTACATCTCCCTCACTACATCTCCCTCGCTTCACCTGCAGACACATCTCACACAGGGGCGGTGAGATTCTTCCTCACTACATCTCCCTCACTACATCTCCCTCGCTTCACCTGCAGACACATCTCACACAGGGGCGGTGAGATTCTTCCTCACTACATCTCCCTCACTACATCTCCCTCGCTTCACCTGCAGACACATCTCACACAGGGGCGGTGAGATTCTTCCTCACTACATCTCCCTCACTACATCTCCCTCGCTTCACCTGCAGACACATCTCACACAGGGGCGGTGAGATTCTTCCTCACTACATCTCCCTCACTACATCTCCCTCGCTTCACCTGCAGACACATCTCACACAGGGGCGGTGAGATTCTTCCTCACTACATCTCCCTCACTACATCTCCCTCGCTTCACCTGCAGACACATCTCACACAGGGGCGGTGAGATTCTTCCTCACTACATCTCCCTCACTACATCTCCCTCGCTTCACCTGCAGACACATCTCACACAGGGGCGGTGAGATTCTTCCTCACTACATCTCCCTCACTACATCTCCCTCGCTTCACCTGCAGACACATCTCACACAGGGGCGGTGAGATTCTTCCTCACTACATCTCCCTCACTACATCTCCCTCGCTTCACCTGCAGACACATCTCACACAGGGGCGGTGAGATACTTCCTCACTACATCTCCCTCACTACATCTCCCTCGCTTCACCTGCAGACACATCTCACACAGGGGCGGTGAGATTCTTCCTCACTACATCTTCCTCACTACATCTTCCTCACTACATCTCCCTCTCACTCCATCTCTCTCATCTCTCTTACTCCATCTCTCTCTCATCTCTCTCACTACACCTCTCTCACTCCATCTCCCTCACTCCATCTTTCTCGCTCCATCTCTCTCACGCCATCTCTCTCGCTCACATCTCTCTCACTCCATCTCTCTCACGCCATCTCTCTCGCTCACATCTCTCTCACGCCATCTCTCTCGCTCACATCTCTCTCATCTCCCACGGGGGTGGTGAGATTCTAATACTGTACCGTACTGTATGCAATTCGCCGTTGTGTGTGTGCCCAGCGGGACACGGCTTTGCCGTGCGATTCTTGCTCGCCGCTTGTGCCGTTTCAGAATCATCGGGGAGTCTCTTTTGTTTCTTTGACCATTGAAGCAAATCGCTTCGGAATATATCTGACGAGGAACAAACATTGCCGGCGTGCGACGCTCCGATTCCCACCAAAGTTGATACGCTTCTACGGCACTGATTGTGATGGAACACGATCGTTGTTGAAGTGTCACCTTTCGCCTCCTAGCGCACACGGTGGCTAGGAGATGTTAACTACCTCGCCTGGTGTGCAGGAGGTCGTGGGTTCAATCCCAACCCTTAAGGCCTGCTGCATATTTGGAGTTTGCGTGTTTCTCTCATCATCATCACGGTGGCTAGGAGATGTTAACTACCTCGCCTGGTGTGCAGGAGGTCGTGGGTTCAATCCTAACCCTTAAGGCCTGCTGCATATTTGCAGTTTGCGTGTCTCTCTCTCTCTCTCATCATCATCACAGTGGCTAGGAGATGTTAACTACCTCGCCTGGTGTGCAGGAGGTCGTACGTTCGATTCCCAACCCCGGACGCCTGCTGTATATTTGGAGTTTTCGGTGTCTCTCTCACTCGCTCCCCCCGTGGTCGCGCTGATTTTTCTTCTCCGGGACCTCCGGTATTTCCCTCCGCATTTAGAATCAACATGCATTTAGATTATTTGGCAGCTAATCGTGCCTCCTCCCACGATTGCAATACGTTCCACTCCAGCCGCCTGATAAATTGTGGAATTTGAATCAATTGAAAACTAAACTATTCTTTTATTTCACCAGGTAAGGCCCACTGAGCTAAAGAGCTATTTTTCAGATCCGACCTGGCCACAAATGATAGCTCAACGAAGTGGCTTATCACGTGGAAATCTACAGCGCCCAAATACTCTCAGCCCATGTTTCTGAGTGTTGAGGGGAAAACCAGAGCACCCGGAGAAAAATCCACACGTCCACGGGAAGAACACGCAAGCTCCAAATATATACGGGCGTCGGGGTCGAGATCGAACCCACGATCTCCTGCATACTAGGGGAGGTAGCTAACATCTTGCCACGGTGGAAGAGGACACCCAGATGATCCAACAGAACACACACGATCTGACGAGACTTTCTGGACAAATAATTTTGTATACGTTGCCGAATAAGTAACGCTCCAATGGCTGGATTATTTTGTCTTTGGTGGAATCTGGATTACGACCAACGTGTTATAATAGGGGGTTTTCCCCTTTTTTCCGGCAACAAAACTTAAACCTTTTAACAAGGAATCATGTGTGCATTAACCCCAATACTTGTGATCAAAATGCAAACAAAAACACACTGATAATATATGCGTTGTCCTTAAAACTGATTGGTCCACACCAGAGATGGCTTTCTTTTGAGCCTCGTCTCAATTGGTGCGAGACCAGAGGACGCCAAAAGGCGTACAGCTCAAAGACAATGCACTATCAAAGTAATGAGGGCTCGGGGTAAGTATCTACACCATTAGACCTCCTTTGTCAGTACCAAAATATAATAGGGTTATTCTTTTTTTATATTTTGGTACTGGCAAAGGAGGTCTAATGATGTAGACCAGCGTGTTGTTTCTTATCTTGTGATTTCACCCTGTTAATTTACCTCTTGTTCTGTAGTGTTCCCCAGTGAGTAATATTAACGAGAGCGAGAGTAGATTGATTCCCACTGCTCCGAACAGGACTCCTTTGATGGTGGGAAAATTTTGCCTCCAAAAGTTTTATCGTGTTGAGAGGGGGTTGATCTCTGTGGTAACTAGAAGACACAGCACCAGCTAAACGACACTCCATGTGCGCGCGCATGTGTGTGTGTAAAGCGATGCAAGTGTAATCGATCGCTCACAGCACTTTCCCCAAGAAGTCTGTTAAGGTTGTTACGTGGGGATATTTGTCTTTTGGAGTAATTCCTCTATCGCACCTTAATGGAGTCACGAAGGGTAACGTGACCTTTCGGCGGTCCCGCTCTTATCACCGCGTGCGGCTGACGTGCAAACGTCGGTTGAAATCGGAGCTTCGCGCACACGCTCCGCGAATGTTCCCCACGAGTGCTGGCAAGAGATCGTTGCGAGTGTGGCCCTCGTGCCGAAAGTCTCGTGTTGGATTTCAGCACCGCCATCATCATCATCATCGTTGTTGTATCCTCTCCGTTATATTTTTGGGTCGTGCTTCCGCGCGTTGTTGTTGTTGTTCGGCACGATGTCCGACGTTTCGCTCCACGTGCTGCTGGCAGCTTCTTCCTCGGGAACTGATAGAATAAATAATTTTCTCCCCCCCCCCCCGCCCAACTACCTCTTCCCGCTACCAGCACGGCACGTGGAATGGAACGTTGGACAAACGTCACACGACCCGAGAGAGATAATTCACATTCTGTATAATCATCTTCGTCACCATCATTGACGTCGGCCTACAATATGAACGAGTCATATATAATTGGCCCTGGTCTATCCACTGCTGGATATCGGCCTCCCCAAATCCAGTGGCATTCCTCGCAGTCCTACGGAGATTTATTTGATTAATGGGATTTGCTACAGTGTGCCTCGCCAACGCCACAAAAGCATGCTTCGTTATGAATAACAAAAAGAACACTGTTCTTTCCCAAAGTGGAATATTAATTCGCACGGTATGAGGAACAGCTTCTGAATTTGAGATCCAAATGTGGTCGGATCAGATGGTGAATGCATCAAATACGTGTGATACAGAAACATGTGACACAGCCGATGTGTCCAAAAAATATGAATGGTTTCTGCCGAATGTTGATGCAGATTTAAGTTTGCGTCCGCATGTTTGTGGTGGTAAGATGTTAACTACCTCGCCTGGCTTGCAGAAGGTTGTGGGTTCGATCCCGACCCTGATGCCTGCTGTATATTTGGAGTTTGCATGTCCTCCTCGTGATCGTGTGGATTTTTCTCCGGGTCCTCCGGTTTTTCCCACCACATTTATTTAGAATCAACATGCGTTTAGAGTATTTGGCTGCGATCACTTTCCACGTGATAAGCCACTTTGTTGAGCTATCATTTGTGGCCAGGTCCATTCTAAAAAAAGAGCTATATAGCTCTGGGCCTTACCTGGTAAAATAAAAAAATAGTTGGAATACTATTAATACAAGAGAGCGAGCAATGGGGATTTTCCTGAGCCCAATTCCCTTTTCGAACCGGCACTTGCCAGTACAGTATTGGTAAAGTATGGTCAAGCAACCCCCATGATGGAAGAGGCCAACAGAGTGATAGCCAAGGGGAGGGAGTGGCACCTGAGGTGAGGATGTCCCTTTACAAAGATGGAGCGATGAAATCGGCTGCTGTGCAGATTGCACGGTGGATCGTTACATCGCAGGACTGTGAGAGACGGTGCCTTGCTTGTTTGGGAGGTCCTTATCCAGCAGTGGATTGACCAATGATGATGATGATGATGGAAAGACACAGGGAGGACATCGTCTAGCAGTGGATCGATAAAGTTGCTGTACATTATAACGGTTTTTACACATTTAAAATAAAGCGCAGGATCTTGTTATGAATGGTGACGGTGCTATTTTGGTGTGTGCTGTGTTTATTTAGAAAATGTTATTAAAATTACGTTTGTTTTCTTCTCCTTTAGGAGCCGGAGAGAATTTAGAAAACACCATGACAGCGTTCAAGCAGTGAGTATTTATTATTCCTCAACGATTTTGCTTGGGGAGGCTAAGACGCAGCGTCATTGTACACAGATGAAGACAAAGAGCCCCCGTACAGCCTGTTCAGGTGATGGCGAAAATCTTTTAGGATAAGTCGACCTAGCGGAGGCCCTGTACCGATTTAGATAAATGTCACTGGTGTTGGCCACGAGCGGGAATCGTACTTGGGTCGCTGGGTTCGTAGCGCAGCGCGCTGACCGCTCCACCACTGCTCCCCACACACGCACGCACAGCCACAACACTTTTATTGGTCTTCAAGATCTCTCGTTAACACAATGTTGTTGCTACTAATCCCAAAGTCAACTCCTCTTCCCTCTCATCTCACTCTACTCCCCTCCATGTACTCTCCTACCTCTCCATGCACTCTCCTTTCTATATCTTCCCATCTCACTACCCTCCACGCACTGTCTGGCCTAGCAACCTCTGAACCCGGCAACGCCACGACTAACATCGGTGGCGAGTAATGTCTGAAATGGTCTTATACCCCTCCCTCACCTCCCCCACCCACCCAAAACCTCTTCCAACTCACACCGAACGAAGCTGTAAATCACCGAGATGTATTATTATTATTGCAGTAACTTACAGTGAGGGAAAAAAGTATTTGATCCCCTGCTGATTTTGTACGTTTGCCCACTGACAAAGAAATGATCAGTCTATAATTTTAATGGTAGGTTTATTTGAACAGTGAGAGACAGAATATCAACAACAAAAATCCAGAAAAACGCGTGTCAAAAATTGTATCAATTGATTTGCATTTTAATGACGGAAATAAGTATTTGACCCCCTCTCAATCAGAAAGATTTCTGGCTCCCAGGTGTCTTTTATACAGGTAACGAGCTGAGATTAGGAGCACACTCTTAAAGGGAGTGCTCCTAATCTCAGCTTGTTACCTGTATAAAAGACACCTGTCCACAGAAATAATCAATCAGATTCCAAACTCTCCACCATGGCCAAGACCAAAGAGCTCGCCAAGGATGTCAGGGACAAGATTGTAGACCTATACAAGGCTGGAATGGGCTACAAGACCATTGCCAAGCAGCTTGGTGAGAAGGTGACAACAGTTGGTGTGATTATTCGCAAATGGAAGAAACACAAAAGAACTGTCAATCTCCCTCGGCCTGGGGCTCCATGCAAGATCTCACCTCGTGGAGTTGCAATGATCATGAGAACGGTGAGGAATCAGCCCAGAACTACACGGGAGGATCTTGTCAATGATCAAAATGGAGCTCTTTGGCATCAACTAAACTCGCCGTGTTTGGAGGAGGAGGAATGCTGCCTATGACCCCAAGAACACCATCCCCACCGTCAAACATGGAGGTGGAAACATTATGCTTTGGGGGTGTTTTTCTGCTAAGGGTACAGGAATACTTCACCGCATCACAGGGACGATGGACGGGGCCATGTACCGTCAAATCTTGGGTGAGAACCTCCTTCCCTCAGCCAGGGCATTGAAAATGGGTCGTGGATGGGTATTCCAGCATGACAATGACCCAAAACACACGGCCAAGGCAACAAAGCAGTGGCTCAAGAAGAAGCACATTAAGGTCCTGGAGTGGCCTAGCCAGTCTCCAGACCTTAATCCCATAGAAAATCTGTGGAGGGAGCTGAAGGTTCGAGTTGCCAAACGTCAGCCTCGAAACCTTAATGACTTGGAGAAGATCTGCAAAGAGGAGTGGGACAAAAACCCTCCTGAGATGTGTGCAAACCTGGTGGCCAACTACAAGAAACATCTGACCTCTGTGATTGCCAACGAGGGTTTTTGCCACCAAGTACTAAGTCATGTTTTGCAGAGGGGTCAAATACTTATTTCCCTCATTAAAATGCAAATCTATTTTTAACATTTTTGACATGCGTTTTTCTGGATTTTGTTGTTGTTATTCTGTCTCTCACTGTTCAAATAAACCTACCATTAAAATTATAAACTGATCATATCTTTGTCAGTGGGCAAACGTACAAAATCAGCAGGGTATCAAATACTTTTTTCCCTCACTGTAGCTAAGTCTGCACGACCTCACAGGGAATCCGTAGCGACATTAGTGGTGGTACTAGACTTTGGAATGCGCGCAAGCGGCAAGTAGTACTAAGATACACCATGCGTCACCTGGCTCTACTGCTGATGAGGTGTCATGTAATCTGGTTTCTGGCAATAAATTGGGTGTGTACAGTTTTCTAAATCAACTGGTTAGCATTAAACAAAAATGTAGCCTGCAGTTAGGTTAATTATGCACTTTAGCAACTGTCCATCTTTATGATATGCCAACATGGCACCGGACCAACTCTTGTGTGGGTGTTACTGGTGGGACGTGGGTGGCGCTGTGGATTACACTGGTGGGATGTGGGTGGCTCCGGTGAGACGTGGGTTGCTCTGGTGAGATGTGGGTGGGACGTGGGTGACACTGGTGAGACGTGGGTGGGACGTGGGTGACACTGGTGAGACGTGGGTGACACTGGTGAGACGTGGGTGGCACTGGTGGGACGTGGGTGAGACGTGGGTGGCTCTGCTGAGACGTGGGTGACACTGATGGGACGTGGGTGTCACTGGTGGGACGCAGGTGTCACTGTTGGGACGTGGGTGGGACTGGTGGGACGTGGGTGGGACTGGTGGGACGTGGGTGTCACTGGTGGGACGTGGGTGTCACTGGTGGGACGTGGGTGTCACTGGTGGGACGTGGGTGTCACTGGTGGGACTGGTGGGACGTGGGTGTCACTGGTGGGACGTGGGTGTCACTGGTGGGACGTGGGTGGGACTGGTGGGACGTGGGTGGGACTGGTGGGACGTGGGTGTCACTGGTGAGACGTGGGTGGGACTGGTGGGACGTGGGTATCACTGGTGGGACGTGGGTGGCACTGGTGGGACGTGGGTGTCACTGGTGGGACGTGGGTGGGACTGGTGGGACGTTGGTGTGATCTGGCCACCGTGATCGAGCGGCAGTCTCGTCATTCAATCCGAGGAGGCACGGGCGCTCAGGCGAAACCCTCGGTCCCCTCCGTGTTGGTCATTGCATTGGAGGTTAGGTTACCGGGTAAGACAAGATTAGGCAAAAGGGGAGAGCTTTCTGGTTGGCCAGTTAGCTGCGTGATAGACCAACTGGCGTACAGAGCATCTCTGTTCTCGGAGAAAGCCAGCCCTCTGCTCAAGATTTAATTGAAACATAAAATCCCCCAATTAACGTGGGGGTGGTAGTCACGTGACTAGTTTTGGTTAATGGGTAAAAACCCAAATATTCTTACAGCTATGGTGTGTATGTGGCATGCTGCCTACTCTTGCTCCCTGTGAACCTATTGCCCTAATAATACACGCAGCTGTCTCAGCTCTATTATTGACTTCAGATCTGGAGATTGCATCTTAGATGTCTCATCTGTAGTTGTGCTCATGTGCCACACATATCTGTGACGTCTGTTTTCTTGCTGTGTGTGCGTGCTGCGTGTGCTGCACACGTTCTTTGCGCGTGCTGTCTGCTGCATTCATGCCGTGTGCATGTTGCGTGCTGTGTGCTTACTGTGTGTGTGTGTGCGTGCTGTGTGTGTGGTTGTTGCGCGCTGCATATGAGGAACAGTAGTCTAGCGGTTAGCGTGCTGCGCTACAAACTTGGCGACCCGAGTTCGATTCCCGCTCACGGCCAACACCAGTGACGATTATCTGAACCGGTCCTGGGCCTCCCCTAGGTCAACTCGGCCTCAAATGAGTACCCGGTGCAATGTGTAAATATTGTCACTAGGGAGACAAAGGCAGCCGGGCATGGTGTTGTCCACCCACCCCCTCATGTGCTGTGCTGGCCTTCGTAGGGGCTCGCTGCATGTGCGTTCATGTTGTGTGTGCGTGAGCGTATGCAATTGCGCCAATTGAGAAATTCACACGCGTGCCACGTGTGTGCCCGAGTGCAATTTAATGCCGTGTGTGTGATTGCATGCCACTTATGTGTAATTGTGAGTGTGCTTTTCTGAGTATGCGATTGTGTATGCAATTTTGTGTGCCATGTGTATGCTTTTTTGCAGTAGCAAATGTGCGATTGCGTGCCACATATGCTTTTGTGTGTATGTCCGTGCGCGATTGTGTGTGTGTGTGTGTTTGTTTGGCACCAATATTGTGGAACAGCTTACCCAGAAATAGTGTTAATTAATCCATGCATATGACACGCAATCGCGTGTCACATGCATGTCGCGTACATGCCACGTGTACGGTTGTGTGTGTGATTGCGTGCCACCTGCATGTCACGTGCGTGAGACACGTGTACGGTTTTGTTTGTGTGCGCGCTAATGCATGCCACGTGTGTACGGCTGTGCGTACCGTGCCAGCCTTCATAGGCGCTTACTCGCAAACAGCACTTGCCCCAACAGTCTGCTAATGCTATACGGGGAATCTTTGTCTTTGCCTGCGTGTGCCCTTTTGCGTGTCAGCGCGGTGGCGCTGGGCACGGACATGCTGGAGCTCGACTGTCACCTGACCCGGGACGACGAGGTGGTGGTCGTCCACGACCAGCGCCTCAAGCGTCTCTGCGGTTTGGACGCCAAAATCTCCGACCTCCGTTACGCCGTGAGCACCGCCTGCATTTCATAGACCTTACAAGTTGTTTGTTGCGTTTTTCATCTGCGCGTTGCTTCGTCGTGTTCTTTGGTGTAGGTGGCGGGAGGGGGTGAGGGTGGGATCAGGGCAGATGAAGGGAAGGAGGGCCCCCCTGTCAGAGCGCGGTCAGCTAAAGTAGTGAACTATTTGTCCTTTGTAAATGTGACACATTTTTTACTGTTTGGCCGTGTCGGGTGGTGGAGGGTTACGACACATTTATAAATAACGCGATCTAACACAAAAACCTTTATTATGAATAATATTGGTCACAAAAGCCTACGTGTTAAATTGACAAACCCCGTTGTTTCTGCCAAGTCTTTTGAAAACATCAAACATTGTTGTTCTGCTGTCCTTGTACCCGATCTGGTCTTGCTCTCCGAAACAAAACAAACATTTGGGGTGTCCCTTAATTCAGGGCCAACCTGTGTTCGCAGCGTCGATGTATTTGTGTATCTAGAGATTCTTTAGCACCGTACGTAGCCAACCGTGCTAATCTGAGGTGCGGGGGAAGGACAACAAACTTAAATATGAAAAGCAGTTCTAAAGAAATTAGTTTTCAATTTCGATTTAAAGATGCAAAGCTCCAGTGGTTTCCTAACATCGGAAGGAAAAGCGTTCCAGACGGCCGCAGAAGTGTATCTGAAAGCGTGCGATACGGTGATCGTCTTTGTTCGATGGCCAGCCAAAAGTTGATGTATGTTGAACTTCTTTCTCACCGTACGTAGCCAATCGTGCTAATTGGAGGTGCGGGGGAAGGACAACAAACTGAATACAAAAGTAGTTCTAAAGAAATTAGTTTTCAATTTAGGTGATAAAATGCATATCTCCAGTGGCTTCCTAATATTGGAAAGAAGAACGTTCCAGACGGCTGCAGAAGCGCATCTGGAAGCGCGCGACACAGTGACCGTCTTTGTTCGGAGCAAGTGGGTGGCCGGCCAGCCGGCCGGCCCGTGGTCCTAGAGCCCTGGCCGTGACCTGACGCTGAGGCTACGGCATTGCTGACCCATTGCTTTGTAAGCGAGTGGAGGTTTGACTTCCAACCAAACACACGGTCGCGTCTGCGACGACACCGGCAGCGACGTGTACGGCACCAAACGTGTACTGTATCATCATCGTCATCATGCGGGGTCGTGGGGGCTGTTAATTTGACCATACTTCACCGCCGCTGGTAATCGTCATTTGGTGAAGGCGAGGAGCATAGACACGGGCGGCACGGGAGTACAGTACAAGGACCCCTCGTTCATCGCGGCAGATGATGCGTTCCTGAAATGTGCCACGTCAAGCGAGAAATTACCGTATTTTCCCGCATATAACCCGCGGGGTATGCCACTTTTTACAAACAAAACAAGACCCTGCGGGGTATATGGAGGTGCGGGCTATCTGAAATCTATTTTACACAAAACGCTATTTTTGCGGGTATATGCGTCTGCTGGTTATATGTGGGAAAATACGTTACTGTATATATGCATATATTACAGGGCATAAACATAAAATGGAACCACATTTGCACTATGAAATCAGCCAGCAGCCATCCCATGGTGGGACAAAGAGACTGAGATGAGGGTACGCCGCCACATTACTGTATAATTCCACGTACTGTATCGCTGTACCACTCAGTCACGCGGCTCAAGAAAGTAGTTCGTCGTCGACCACTCAGAAAGCCGCGTTATAACGGCGCGCGTTCCACGTTGCGCGTGAAGCGTTCCTGGGTAGAAGAGAACCGTGTTATTTTGCGAAAACGCGTCATCCGACAACGCGAGGAATTTCCGCACGAGCTGCCGCACAGGGCTGCTCGGAGCTGCTTAGCATCCGAAATTCTGACGGAGAGCAGGTTCGTTCGGGGTGGTTGGCTCGTAATGAATTTCGGCGCGTAGCACAGCAGCGCAAGGGGATAGCAAGGGGGTTGCGGTTCTGTCGGGACAACAGAATTGGGGGCGAGTGTAGGCGCGCAGAAGTTCCGCCGCACGGTTCAAGAGAGGTAGGAAGTGATTCTGTCCGGTCATTTTCCGGGGGATTTGTTCCGCGTCGTGATGATGAAAAGCAAGGATCCGTTGTATGTCGCAAGTCAACAGCAATGGACATTTCTTCACCTTGTGGTTTTTCAGTTTATCACAAGTTGGGAAATTACTGGTGATGAAATCTCAGTCCACATCCGTTGATGGAGCGGTGGTGCTGCGGTTCGCTTACCGCGCTATGAATCCAGCCATGGCTAACAGATCTCAGATTTCCTTTCCAATGTGCGTGTCGTTGACCGCCCTGCTTTGTTGTTGTAGTATATGCAATGGTTTATTTTAGCCTCGTAATTTGATAGTTTGTTTGTTCTGGTCGTGCATTGTTGATGCATGGACCCTGCCATTCGGAACTTGGCTTGTTTTGATTTATGGGTTTTTTTTGTGTGCTGTAACCAGGTTTCTTTAACCAGTTCCCCCATCGAGCATGAGTATTTGTTACCCAATGAACTTTACCCGGGGGCCGCAATAAAATGTACCTAACCCTGGAAAGCAGCAGCGGCGCATGATATCCGAACCTGTGCCTCACCCATCAACACTCGTTAGCCGATCCGGATTGGCCGGCTTGGTGAAGTATGGCCGAGAAGTCTCCCGTGACTGAAAGGCGTGGGGGGAGGGCTTTGTCCGTGCGGTGGATTTTTATGTATTTTATGCACTTTTTACATCTAGATTGGGTGGTTTTTCAGACACATACCTGTGTGGGCGCTTGGAGGTGATGAGGAGGGAGAGGCGGGGAGGGGGGGGGGTAGAGTTGGGGGGAGAGTTGGGGGGAGGCCGTGGTGAATCTCGTAAAATAGTTTATATCGCCAATTCAGGTGTTTCTCAAAGCTCGAATTACTGACTTTAACGAATCGTTCATTATCGTATGTCATGGGCCATCCGCTGCTAGATGAAAGGTTTCCCCAAGTCGCTGCCGTTCTAGAATGAAAACTCGTTTCTTTAGAACTGCTTTTTGTGTTTAGATTGCTGTCCTTACCCTCTCCGCTCCTCCGATGAGCACGGTTGGCTACGTATGGTACGAAAGAAGTTCAAAATATATATGTAGTGACGGACTCAGAGACATATTATTATTTCCCTTCTACGTGACTTTACCGAAAGAACCAAGAACATGAATCCCTGCAGTCACGAAAGCTTTAAATCGAAAAGTAGGAGGCACTGTTTATTAAAACGGCCTTAACAGTTAACCATTGGTAACTACGGTTCCCAGTCAGGACAGCTGGTAGTCTGCCTGACTGACGACGCCGAGATGGTGAAGACTCCGGCAGCAGCACGACGGTGACCCCCCCCACTCCACTCGACAGCCCCGAGGTCCCCTCCCGGGGTCCCTCTTAAACTATCAGCGTGGCCTGGCTCCGCCCCCGGCCACGCCCCCTTCTGGAATCTACTAGCGGGTTCTCGATGTGCCCCGTCCGTAACCTTTCCTCGCTAGATCCTTCTATGCTCTATTACATGACCTGCTTTCAGTCAGGGCTGCTGTAAGCTGCAGATCCCCTTCCCTGCCAGCAGCCAGCGCTATGCTGCTACGTGACCGATTCTATGTCACTACACATCCATACATCCGTATGTATACAGCTCATTTAAAAATGAAAATCAAATCACTGCTGGATGAGGATCTCACTGAGCCAGTCCCAGTCGTGGAGGTTATCCGAACATACTTCAGCATGCTGGACAGTGCGAGTCGGTGAAGATGGGGAGGATATACGTGAGCATAGCATAGTACAACAATGTAAGTTGCTGAGCTGCCCACTCTTACTACTCATTATTATTGGCACTACGATGGTTGGCAAATTGGACAATAGTGAGAGAGAGATTCCTGAATCCTCCCCCCCCCCCTTGCCATGTCTACTCAGCAGCATGAATGGATGTACCACAGTTATTCAATCTAACTGTGGTTATTCAATCTAACTGTGGTACATGGTGGGGTAGAGTGTGGGTATTCCCAGCCCTTCCAAGACACCTGGCCAGCGTGGAAGAACCCTCTCGGGAGATTCTTCCCTCTAGTGGAGGGGGTAGACTTCCCTCTGTCGTGGAGGCCCTTCTGCCAGCAGTGACGTGAGCAAGCAATTCCAGGGCTGCGCCCTTAACCTTTATTGCTCCAGACTTGGCGAGAATTACGGAGGCGCAGAGGAGTGAACCGAATATGAGTCTGAGGTTGAACTCTCATCCCACTGTGCTAGGCGCAGTGGCGGCGCGGGGGAGGATGCTAGGGAGCAGCAAGGTCCATGGGGAGGCTGTGACGATCTTTTGCACGGGACTCGCGCTTGATTAGGCCATGCCCATGTTGCAGTAGCAACTCTAAATAAATAAAGCTGTGAATTGAGACCTGCGTTTTACGTGACGCACTTATATGAACGGTCTCTCGCGCGGCGTTGTGTAATTGCTCAATTAAGACGGCGTAATAAACTTTTTTTGGAACGGACCAACATAGGGGTGCAATTTTAGGATTGTTATTTTAGGATTGTGTGCGGTCGCGAATGACTGTGTTGATTGTGCGCACACGCCCGTGTTTGCGTGCGTGGTCACACGCGTGCCCGTGAATGCGTGTTGTTCACACTGGTTCACATTTGCATGTTTTGCCCCTCTCATCATCTCCCCGTGTCTCTTCTCGCCTCTCCGTATGATTAGGACCTGCCTTGCTACCACTCCAGCCTTGACGTCACCTTCCAACCAAGTAAGAAGCCGGCATCTTGGCTGCAGACTGGGCTTAATTCATAACATTTTTTCTGAGTTGCTGCTCGACTCGAGCAAGGAGGCACTTGTATGCATGTTGAAAGTCTTTCGCACTGTACGTAGCCAACCGTGCTAATAGGAGGTGTGGGTGAAGGACATCAAACTAAACACACACAAAAAAAAACGTGCCTGGCAGACACAGCCACTCGCGAGTAGCGCAGTGGCTCGGTGGTGACGCTTGGTCCAAGCAAAAGCTTAGGGGCCATTACGCAGCTGAAGGGGCTCCCCAGACATTCTAAGTCTAATTGAAGTGTGAAACTAATCAACGTGAAAACAATCAAATGAATCTCTCCTTATTCTTGCAATCTCACTTCATTGTCCATGTGTGCCTGCATTTGTTTCACCTCGATTACATCGTCGTCTCTCATTTCATGAGATTTTAATAATAAGTTGAAGGCGGCGGGGGTGAGGGGAGGGGGGAGAGACTCACCGCTGTACCACCCCGTCGTCCTTTGTGCCCCATTGCGTAAACGGACGCGAGCGGCGTCTTTTTTTTCCCCAGCGGTTTCACCTGCGCCCCCCCATCCCCCGTCCCCCCACCCCCCAACTCTTACAGCAACAATAACAAACTGTGGCCCGCCTCGTCCTGGCTGTGCAGAATGAATTATTGAAAACGCAGTGTCTCCTTTTTCTGTGGCGCTGCGTGCCGGCCGCGCTCGGTAACCAGACTCTGGTGGGAGAGCGGTGCGGTGAAATCGCCGAGGTCATTAAAAGCTAAACGATAAGATATGAAAAAAATGTTTTTACCAGGTAAGGCCCACTGAGCTGTATAGCTCTTTTTCAGAAGCGTGGAAATTTTTATAGCGGTAGTCAAAGACTCTAAACGCGCGATGTTGATTCTAAATGTGGAGGGCAAAACCGGCAGACCCGGAGAAAAATCCACGCGACCGCGGAGAGAACATGCAAACTCCAAATATACAGCAGGCGTCAGGGTCAGGATCGAACCCATAACCTCCTGTATACCAGGCGAGGGAATTAACATCTCGCCATCGTGGGGGGCGGGGCTGTGGGGGAGTTGGTTCATTTAAACGGTGACAACGTTCACGTTGGCGTGGAGCGGTGGCGCTGCTATTGGCGCACCGCGCTATGGACTCGGCCGCCTGAGTTCTGCGCTAACGGTGCTCACCCCCAACAGTTATGGTTGGCCATACAGGGCACTTTTGTCTTTTGTGTATTGGTGTGTTAAGTGAGGGATGGGGGGGTTCCTGGGGTGGTGCAGTGGTTAGCGAACCGTGCTACGAACCTGTCAACCTGAGTTCGATTCCCAGCCGTGGCTAACATCGGTTGATATCGAAACCGGTCCTGGACTTCCCCTCCTTCGCCACCATCCCAAACTGATAACCGTGGACGGAGTGTGGTAAACAATCCCCAGGACCGGCAACCAGTAAGGGAGAGGCCTTTCCTTCAGCGGTCGATTGGCACAGAGCTATTTAAAAACAGCAATCCACAATTACGCACTTGTGCTTGCGCGCGTTTCATTCATCTTTCCGGAAATCGACACAGCCCCTCGGTGCCACGCAGAGTTCAGCGGCGGAGGAACTTAAACAGACGTGATTCGTTGGAATCGCCGTTGCTGTCTCTCGTGTTGCCCTACGTGACGTCCGACGTTTCGCTCCGCGTGAACTCGGGAGGAAGCCGCCACCGCACGAAGAGAACCGAAGGGCAGCACCGTGATAGCAAACCCCCCCCCTGCGAACGGTCCACGGTGACGAGATGTCATTCCCCTCGCCTGATATGCCTCCCCACAGTCGCGCGGATTTTTTTCCTGGTCCTCCGCTTTTTCCCCCGCGTTTAGAATCGGCGTGCGGTTTTAGAGTTTTTGGCTGCCGCGATAAATTTCCCACGCGATGATGACGAGCCACTTCGGTGAGCTTCCATTATGTGGCCAGGTCGCTTCTGAAAAAGAGCCACACAGCTCAGCGGTGCGGCACAGCCACGATGACCCTTACGCGGAGACCGAGATCGTCGTTGTCGTTATTGGACTTGCGCGAACGCACAGGCCGCCTGCTTATTTTCGGCTCGTGCAGCCGTTTATACTGCGCGACCTTGGAAAGAGAGCGGCCGGCTCCCGCGCTGTTCGTTAGCGCTCAACGATGCAACACAGTTCGTATTTACATGTATTTATAGTCCTTTATATATATAGCGTGCGACCGCGTCTCGAGACGGTGCACGGATAACGGTGGGGGTTCGTTTATGGTATAGTCCAGAAGGTCGGTAACATGCAGCTCCGGAGCCGCATACTGCTCTTTAGGGGCTGTTTATTAAGGACCACCGTCTCGTATTCACGTGCATTGGCGGCTCTTGAAGTATCTGCCCAGTTTTTTTTATACTGAATTCGAACACAAAAAATGGCTCCTCTTGTTATTTTGGTTGCCGACCCCCTGGTATAGACAGCGAGAGAGAGAGAGTGGGGCAGGCAGCTGTAAGCAGAGGTTAATTGGGAAAGGTCTTGGGCCTGGACTTGAACAGGGGGCAGGGAGTCGACAGCATGGATCACTGGGGGTTGGTTGGGGGGGGGGGTCAGCGAGTTCCAGACTGTGGGGCCAGCGGAGGAGAACCGTCAACGCGTGTGAATCATGCCGGCAGCTGCTGTTTTGGTCGTTTCGTATTGAATTACTATCGTAAAAAAGACATGTTCTGCACTGCCCATTGTCAATGCCATGTTGGGGTAGTTTGATAATACTTCACCATGCTGGTCACCATGGGATGGTGAAAATCGGTGGAGAGCAGCCAGACTGATTCAGATACAGGTGTCATTCGCCACTGATATTTAGCCGTGGCCAGGAATAAAAGTCAGGTTTCCGGGTTCGTAGCGCAGTGCGCTAACCAAATACATCACCACAACCCACATACCTCTTAGTGAATCGCCATCATCACCACCTTCATCACCGTCAACAACGATCCATCCACTGCTGGATGAAGTCCTTCACCAGATCGTCACCGTCTCTCATGGTATCGCGATGATGCAACGACCCGTCTGGCTTCCCGCACTCGAGCTTGTCAGGGGACATTACAAATAAAGTGCCGGCATTACAGGTGTCGGCTGTCGTGCTGTCATCGTAGCGGGCGTGCTCACCCTGGCCGACATGCAATAGCGCGTCTGTCATGCGGAGGGGAAGCTTCAGCAGAGAGCGGCAGGAGCCGCTCAGATGATTTTGCCGCACTCGGGAGAAAACCGACGAGACGACTTGCACAACACACGTACTGAATTTGTAGCAAAGGGACGCGTCCGTGAGGGTCTCCGCCGAGGAGCTGGAGCGATGGGGGGTGCTGGTGGGGAGGGTGTGTGGGGGGGTGGGGGATGGAGTGGGGGGGGCTCAGTCGTTTTGTGCGAAAGGGCTTGGGTGGAAGGATGACTTTGCGGGGTGGTGAGAGGTGACGGGCAGCCGGCGGAGGCCTTCATACAGCAGTGGGTAGATAAAGGGTCTGTAAATTATAATTATACATTGGGAAGTATTTTTCTCCTCCTAATTTTGCCACCTCGGATTAAAAAAAAAATGCATTCAAGGCGGTCCAGGGGGGCACCTCAGATTTCACCACCCTTGGTTCGCCGCCTTGATTACCCGCCGAAGGAAGGACACCTAGGGGACCTGAAACATCTCCCCAGTTTTGATTTAACTCTGCCCCGTTTGATTGCGGTTTGATTCCAGTGCTCGTGGGACGCGCGGTGCCAACGAAGCCGTGCAAACGACACGAAGGACAAAATTCATATCTAGATGGAACCCCCGGAGGTCGAGTTGCGGGAATTCGTCAAAACGCTGCAGGGCTCGATTGTTACCCCCCCCTCCCTCCCTGCGACCCTCGCAGAGCTCTCCAATCACCCCCCCATCGCCCTCCCACTCATCACGCCAGTCACATCCCCGTCCACTTTTGTACCTCTGATTAGCATGGTTGGCTACATACGATGTTCAACGCACATACCCACGCCCTCCTCTAATCCCTACGTTTCACACCGACCCTCCTCCCCCCCCCCCCGCCGACCCTCCGCTCAGCACACCCGATGTCACTCCTCTACCCAAAAGCTTTGTTCACTATTCCACGTCGGGTTCATCAGGGCTGGTGAGGGCTAATGTCCCACCCCTCACCCACCCTCTGGTCAACTCCCTGACTCTAGCCATCATTGTAAGCCATGGCCGGCCCAACCCACCGCAGTCTCTTGCGACCTTGCGATGTAACGATCCACCCAGCCCCTGCTGCACAAAATCTTCCCTCTGATTCGCGCGGTTGGCTACATACTGCTCGAAAGAAGTTCCACATTCAAACATAATCCACGTGTTCCTCATTTTGTCTCTAAGTGTTATTCTTTCTAATGCAAATCATATGACGTCGATCATTGCATCCCTCTCTTATCATCATCATAAAATAAGTACATTATTATTCGTTTGCATTTTTCTTACGCTTTTCTCCGTGACCGCGATTATAAACTATGTGTTGTGGCAGGTAGTGCGCACTGAATCGTCTCCAATAATCTTACTCGACTACCTTGGTCGGCATCTTCATTGCGATTCATTAATTTAATCTCGCGTGTGTGCCCGCGTGTGTGTGCGCTTGCGCGTGTGTGTGTGCGCTTGCGTGTGTGCGCTTGCGCGTCTGTGCGCGCTTGTGTGTGCGCGCGTGTGTGTGCGCTTGCGTGTGTGTGCCCGCGTGTGTGTGCGCGCGTGTGTGTGTTCTCGCTGTGTGCCGGCAGAGTGCTGCTGCGTGGGGACAGGAGACACGCGCATCCCGCGCCTTCGGGAGGTGTTTGAGGCCTTTCCCGACACCGTCATCAACGTGGACATTAAAGTGGATGACGACAAACTCATAGACAAGGTGAGCAGAACCCGCCTCCACCACTCCGGTCGTCGCTCAAGCCGCTCGCAATCACACGGGCGGGCGGGGGGGAGGATGCTTTCCACGGCTGTCTCGTGGTCAGCACACCGACTGCCCTTGCAGCCCAGAGGTCGCCGGTTCGATCTTGCGGCGGCAGGAGCTGACAGGCAACTAGTAGCCACAGCCATGGCAAGAAGTGTACTGGATGTTGTGGGTGTTCCAGGTGTGGGAATATTTTCCCGGTCGGCAACCCAGAGAGACCCGGCTGAAATGAAGCCCCGTTTGCTCATGAACAGTCGATGGCTTTGTAAGCAAAGCTTCATGCGACGCGAGGATGTGCGCCAAGGTGCATTTGGTTCGTCCACTGGACCTACAATCCAGAGGTCGCCAGTTCAACCTCCCAGCGCGCCAGGTGAAGCAATGGATTGATTCTTGTATTTGTTACACAGAAAATCCCGTGTAGCCAGTTGCCCAGCTATTTTCGGTGGCAACGGCGAGGTAGCGCCTTATTGTTGGGGTGGTGGAGAGGAACTCGGCCAGCATCCAGCCAGGAAACTGGAGGCATAGATTATTTATTATAGTTGTACAATGATATGCAATAAACGCTTTTTGCAGGGCGTATAAAATGTATGGCCCTAGTGTGGCTTTCTGACCATTGCTCATTGCGGTTCATTGAATGCGCGGAAGCATAGTTTCGGCGAACGTAGAAGTACAGGACAATGGTCAATTATTATTTCTGTCTGCTATTCAACCGTATAGCCCTTCCGTTTCTAGCCCATAACAACTGTCACTATGGTCATAGACAAAACCCCCCCCCCACAAATGAAGAATAATAATACACGTTTATAATTAACGCGACGGTTTCATTTCTTGGCAGGTGTCGGAGCTGATCAGGACGCACAGTCGCGAGTCCCTCACCGTGTGGGGCAACGCGAGCGACGTCGTCATCAGGAAGTGCCACAAAGCGGTGCGGCCTGCCCTCTGACCCTGCGACCCCCGGCGGCCATGCTGCCCGTTGTCCCGTGCGCGGTTGTGCTCACCGGTTTCATCCCGATCGCACGATTGGCGTCACGACAAAGTATCCATCCAGGTGTCTCGCGGTGTAGTACAACTCGGGCACAGCCCTTGGATGTGGATATCACGGAGCTACTGCTTGAGTTCTCCCTCCAAGTGACCTCTGGTCCTTATAGTAGGGGGCGCTGCTTTTACGCTCGCTGTCCAATACGAAAGTGGCATGGCACTCAATCCCGCATTTTTTGTTATTCTCGGAGCTGCAAATTGGCCAAAATTCAACACAGAACCAAATTTGATTGCGTTTTCTTTTCTGCGCAGTCAGTCGTGGCTGGCCTGAGAACCATTAACTCGCCACACTCGAGTAGCCGGATTAACCGTGGGTGTGTGGCCACATTCGAACGCAGGAGCTCAGCCCTTCTGGATCAACGTTCTGGTTCTCATCCACCTGGCCACATAAAAAAAAAAAATGCCCACATTTACCACCTAGTTATTGCTCATCAGTGTCACAAACGGCATCTGGAAGTTGATCGCGCAGAACTATTCCTTGAGGTCCCTTCGGCTGCCTCTTGGCCACAGCTTGACTATTTTCTTCATTTGGGTCACATCTACGCAGCATAGCTCATTCTGATTCGTCATATGGACACTGACAAAGCAGAGAGAACAAAAGCTGAAAAGTGAAGGGAATGACAGCCAGTGGAATTGCCATTGCGAGACGTCGCGATGTAGCTGCCGCTATTTGGTTGTATCGCCGCCATCGTCATCGCATTCCCACATTCCCCGGCTGTCTCCAATCCGATCGCTGAGCAGGCTCGCCCCTGCTAAGCTTCCGAGATTCCACGAGATTGGGCGCCTCCAGTCAGCGTTAATCGCGTAGTTGTGGTTGTCGCTGCCGCAGAACCCGGACGTGGGCATCCTCTTCAGCATGAAGCGCGTGGTCGTGCTGCTGCTGCTCTTCTACACGGGGCTGCTGCCCTTTGTGCCGCTGTCCGAGGGCTTCCTGGAGATCCCCATGCCCTCCATGGTGCTCAGGTGCGACGGGAAATTGCGCGTCGCGAGCGGGGGTCGGCGAGGTCGCGAGCGGGGGTCGGCGAGGTCGCGAGCGGGGGTCGGCGAGGTCGCGAGCGGGGGTCGGCGAGGTGAACGGGGGTCGGCGAGGTCGCGAGCGGGGGTCGGCGAGGTCGCGAGCGGGGGTCGGCGAGGTGAACGGGGGTCGGCGAGGTCGCGAGCGGGGGTCGGCGAGGTCGTGAGCGGGGGTCGGCGAGGTCGCGAACGGGGGTCGACGAGGTCGCGAGCGGGGGTCGGCGAGGTCGCGAGCGGGGGTCGGCGAGGTCGCGAACGGGGGTCGACGAGGTCGCGAGCGGGGGTCGGCGAGGTCGCGAACGGGGGTCGGCAATGTGCCATGTTGTTCCGCACTTAAAAAATCTGACTTCCGAATCGGCGACATAGCTCGTCCACCGTGGAGACAGAGAAGGGGAGATCCATTCGGCTCGCGAGCATCGCAGCAGTACTAGCCCGGTGATGTCTGATGAAAAGGCACGTTGAGAATAAGGCAAATGGAATACCCTTTGAGCTCAGAGTGATCCAGTGTTGTTTGTTTATTGGTCTCAGACACCGCACCTACATGACGGCTCCCTTTATTCACCGACTTAAAACAAAGCCTCTGGCATTGTCAATCAAGCCTTGGTATTTTTCTTGGAATGGAATCGCATTGACTTACCTACGTGAATCCAGTTTGTATTGAGCCACAGGACTCGCATATACACCCGCGGGCTCGTACGGAGACTCTTAGACTCGCGTAGAGATCTCTCCCCTTCCTTATGCCTATGTTAATAAATACACCCACGGTTTCTGCGCAGCGTCTTGAGATTGCTGCCTTACGGGGAGGTTAAGTGATCCGTGTTGCATGGGCCTCCATTTGAGTCGAGGTAACTTTACTCTGTAAGCACGTGGGGATCTGCTTGTGCTGTATTTTCCTATTTCTGTGATTGACTGCCTGTTTCTCTCCCGTGAAACGGATCGGAATCAGAATCTTTATTTAGACTGTTAAGAATCCGATGAGCCACAAAGCTCTTTTTCACCAATGCCCAGTAAATTGCCCCGTTCCTCAAATCGCCGCTTCTGCCGCCACCCTGCCAACGGCAAACGGCATCTGAAGATGCGGTCACGTCCGCAGGGGGTTATGCAACTCTCCACTTTGCGTTATATAATTGTCGGTAAGCGCGAGTTGCCACCGCGTGCGTGGCGCGGAGTCGTGGAGCATTACGCAAGCGGCGCTGTCGCTGCAGCTCGCCCGGCGTTGCGTCACGAGTTGCCGCTGCCATGGGAAAGGGCGCAGCGGCGGCAGCAGTCACAGCAGCAGCAGCAGCAACTACGCATGCAGTCGTCCAGCAGGAAGATTTTGTAATCGAGGCACGGTGGTTGTTGTTGTCTTGGTGTGGTCTGGGTCTGTGTTGTTGTTGTTGTCTTGGTGTGGTATACAGTGAGGGAAAAGAGTATTTGATCCCCTGCTGATTTTGTACGTTTGCCCACTGACAAAGAAATTATCAGTCTATAATTTTAATGGTAGGTTTATTTGAACAGTGAGAGACAGAATAACAACAAAAAAATCCAGAAAAACGCGTGTCAAAAATGTTATAAATTGATTGCATTTTAATGAGGGAAATAAGTATTTGACCCCTCTGCAAAACATGACTTAGTACTTGGTGGCAAAACCCTTGTTGGCAATCACAGAGGTCAGACGTTTCTTGTAGTTGGCCACTAGGTTGCACACATTTCAGGAGGGATTTTGTCACATTCCTCTTTGCAGATCTTCTCCAAGTCATTAAGGTTTCGAGGCTGACGTTTGGCAACTCGAACCTTCAGCTCCCTCCACAGATTTTCTATGGGATTAAGGTCTGGAGACTGGCTAGGCCACTCCAGGACCTTAATGTGCTTCTTCTTGAGCCACTCCTTTGTTGCCTTGGCCGTGTGTTTTGGGTCATTGTCATGCTGGAATACCCATCCACGACCCATTTTCAATGCCCTGGCTGAGGGAAGGAGGTTCTCACCCAAGATTTGACGGTACATGGCCCCGTCCATCGTCCCTTTGATGCGGTGAAGTTGTCAGGTCCCCTTAGCAGAAAAACACCCCCAAAGCATAATGTTTCCACCTCCATGTTTGACGGTGGGGATGGTGTTCTTGGGGCATAGGCAGCATTCCTCCTCCTCCAAACACGGCGAGTTGAGTTGATGCCAAAGGGCTCCATTTTGGTCTCATCTGACCACAACACTTTCACCCAGTTATCCTCTGAATCATTCAGATGTTCATTGGCAAACTTCAGATGGGCATGTATATGTGCTTTCTTGAGCAGGGGGAACCTTACGGGCACTGTAGGATTTCAGTCCTTCACAGCGTAGTGTGTTACCAATTGTTTTCTTGGTGACTATGGTCCCAGCTGCCTTGAGATCATTGACAAGATCCTCCCGTGTAGTTCTGGGCTGATTCCTCACCGTTCTCATGATCATTGCAACTCCACGAGGTGAGATCTTGCATAGAGCCCCAGGCCAAGGGGGATGGACGGTTCTTTTGTGTTTCTTCCATTTGCGAATAATCGCACCAACTGTTGTCACCTTCTCACCAAGCTGCATGACAATGGTCTTGTGGCCCATTCCAGCCTTGTGTAGGTTTACAATCTTGTCCCTGACATCCTTGGAGAGCTCTTTGGTCTTGGCCATGGTGGAGAGTTTGGAATCTGATTGATTGATTGCTTCTGTGAACAGGTGTCTTTTATACAGGTAACAAGCTGAGATTAGGAGGACTCCCTTTAAGAGTGTGCTCCTAATCTCAGCTCGTTATCTGTATAAAAGACACCTGGGAGCCAGAAATCTTTCTGATTGAGAGGGGGTCAAATACTTATTTCCCTCATTAAAATGCAATCAATTTATAAGATTTTTGACATGCGTTTTTCTGGATTTTTTTGTCGTTATTCTGTCTCTCACTGTTCAAATAAACCTACCATTAAAATTATAGACTGATCATTTCTTTGTCAGTGGGCAAACGTACAAAATCAGCAGGGGATCAAATACTTTTTTCCCTCACTGTAGGACTGTGTGATTGTTATTGTCTTGGTGTGGTCTGGGTCTGTGTTGTTATTGTCTTGGTGTGATCTGGGTCTGTGTTGTTGTCTTGGTGTGGTCTGGGTCTGTGTTGTTGTTGTCTTGGTGTGGTCTGGGTCTGGGTTGTTGTTTTGGTGTGGTCTGGGTCTGTGTTGTTGTTGTCTTGGTGTGGTATAGGACTGTGTGGTTGGTGTGGTCTAGGACTGTTGTTATTTTGCTGCCTTGTCCCAAGCATGCATTTGGTGTTGACAAATCGGCAGAACTGTATATTTATGTATTGCGACACTCTTTACCTCTCCTCTATATGGCACTCACACTGTCTTTTTGTATTGTTTGTTAATGCAAATCGCTGACCCCATGCCCCTACTGGACATCTGTGAAAAAGAGCTCCAGAGCTCATCGAATTCTTCCAGGACGGAATAAAAGATTAAAATTTTTATTCACTATATCGTGAATAAAGCTAAAGGTGCCGCCCCGCGATCTCGTGCCCACGCCCCGGCTGACCGAAGAGCCTCCACTCAGCTGGAGCTCGGGAGAGAGCTACTCTCCTCTAGCAGGTGTTTAACTAACCTAAACCATTGCTTTTTTTTTATTTTACCAGGTAAGGGCCCCCACTGAGCTTCATAGCTCCTTTTCAGAAGCGACCTGGGCCGCAAGTGATAGCTCAACGAAGTTGGCTTGCCATGTGGAAATTTACAGCAGCCGAATACTCTAAACGCGCGTTGTTGATTCTAAACGGGGAGGAGAAAACCGGAGAATAACGGGGCAAATACCGCTTTGTATCTATACGTATGCTATATGTAATCTGCCCACGTAATTATCGACCGCGCTTTGATGACGATGAGCGTGCCGTCCCCCGCCCCCTGTTGCTGTGCCGCAGAATTGCCGACGAAAAGTCGACGTCCAAACTCTACCGCTGGGTGCTGAGGCTCGCGGACCGGTGAGTCTTGTCACCAGGCACGTGCTCGCCCGCAACCTTTACACCGCACGGCCAGCGACCCCCGGCCCATCGGCATGAACCGCCACGTCTCCAGCCTTCGCCGACAAACGCGGAGCAACGTCGTGCCGTCCAGCCCAACCCACCGACGGGCGGCACGTGAAAATATTCCCGTGTTACGCGCTCGCTCGGCCACGGAAGACGCGCGGGGAGATGCGATCGTGTTGGCGGGAGAGATTAAGGGGTTGGTTGGCGGCGCCCACGAGAGGCCTGGTGGCGACTCGTCTCTCACCGCCCGCTCGCTCGGTCGCTCGTGTGCTTGCTTTTCCGTTGCAGGATACTGATGAGCAAGACTCTGTTCAAACACCTGGAGCGCAGGGGTATACAGGTGAGGTCAGCGATCGCCTGCAGGAAGCCCACAACCCAACGGGAAAATCGCTTTAACTGCTCCGGAGGTGTTGCACGCTATGCTGCAAAGCCCTCCCCCCCCCACGTTTTGTTGCCCGTATGACCCACAACACAGCGGAGACAAAATTTGGCTTTCATAATTCACGATACGTACGAAGTTAAATAAGGGTAAATAATCATTGACAGCCCCCCCCCCCCTCCTCTGTCAATCCACTGCTGGATTAAGGCCCCCCTCCCCCCCCCCCCCCGTGGAACGACAAGCACCATTCGCCGCTTGTTGTTGCAGAGGTTCGTGGTTCGAATCCAGCGGCCTCCCCTGGGTAATAGTGCGCTGCCTGCTTCGCAGTGGACGTTAAAGATCCCGTGACGTAATTCTCAAGAGTAGGCTGTTGCGTGCCGGCGTCATGGTTCCAGATTGGAAAAGTCGCCCGGAAATCACTCGAATGGGATTATACACAGCAATCGTGCCCAACCCTGCCTGCGAAAACCTGCCAGGAGCCTCCTGTTAAAGAATCATGAGACTCGGTGAGGCTCTCTCGGCTAAAACAAACGTGGCGGTGATGATGAAACCAGTTTTATTTGTTAATTCGATTGTCATTATTTGACGAGCACCGTCAGAAAACGAAACGTTTTTTCGAGACATGAAACGAACGGCGATGACCGCAACACGGCGATGTTTCACGGAGCGGGTGACACGATGGCCGCTGATCGCTTCTGCGATGCTTCCGTTGCCGCGAAGCGTTACAGCAGCGTCACGGTGCCACAGCAAACCTGGCGCTGCCGTCGGTCGTTGGGGAAACCACGTTTTTAACTTTTTTTTTCTTTAAGCGTCGGCGTGTGCAAATTTCTTTGGCATGTGTCGTGACGGGTACTCCAAGGTCCGACCATGTCCATCCAGTGCTCGCTGAAGCTGCATTGGCTACCGGTTGCCGAACGAATACATCGTAACGTGGCACTGAATACACACAAAGAGCTGGCTACAAACGAACCGCAATAACTTGCCGATCTCGCCGAGGAGCATAAACTGCCACGTGAACTCCGGTCATCCTCGCAGCAGCGGCTTTTTGGCCAGCCATCGAACAAAGACGGTCATCCCATCCGCAGCACTTTTAGATGCGCTCCCGCGGCCGTCTGGAACGCTCTTCCCTTCCATCATTAGGAAGCCACTGGAGCTACGCACTTTCAAATCTAGGTTGAAAACTCATTTCCTTAAAGCTGCTTTTTGTGTGTAGTTTGTTGTCCTTCCCCCCGCACCTCCGATTAGCGCGGTTGGCAATGTACGGCGCGAAAGAAGTTCAACGTACGTACTTTTCACGCGTACGTAACTCCCGCTACCGCCCCGCTAGGTGTACCTCTGGGTCCTCAACGACGACGAGGACATTGAGCGAGCATTCCGCCTGGGCGCCACGGGGGTCATGACGGACTTCCCCACCAAACTCAAGCACTTCCTGGAGCAGCATCCCGAGTACTGCAAGTGATTAAGTGGGGGCGAGGGGGGGGCAGCCTCGCGCCCTCCCTGCCCCCCCCGCCTTCCCGCAACACCCGGTTGGACCCCCAGCTCCACAGGTTGACCGGTGTCAAAAGGGGGAGGGGGTAGGTGGCAGGGGGGTGGGGGGTGGTTATTACATAGTAGGGCTTAATTCATGTTCTTGTTGTTGTTCCTGTTCACTGAATAATGTTCTCGGTTGCTTGGTTAAGATTGGAGTGGGTGACACGTGACTGCCAGGAGCCACGGCCGCAGTGAGTCGTCGTAATGGTCAATGTGGTGTGCCGGGTGCAGAAATATTTTTTCCCGGGTCTCTGGCCTCACGGAGAGATATTGTAGGCTTGCCGTAGACCGACATAGAGACACACAGACTCATTGAGACCCATAAACACACGTATAAGAGACCCCCTTGTGTGCTTCCTCAGAGGCCCACAGTCTCACGCAGAGCTTAATTTCTCACTCGATATTTTTTGTGTCGCTGGTAGACCGGTGGAGGTGGTGGCAACGTGACTCATAGTAACCACAGCCATAGCAAGAGGTGTTTTGGATGTGGCGTGCTGGGATGTAGAAATACCTTCCGGCTCGCCGACCCAAACAGACCCAGCTGATATCCCTCCGATGCGTTTTCCGGATCGATCCGCGCGTCGTTCTGCACGATGTCCAACATTGCGTTCCACGCGGAACGGAACGTCGGACAGCGCACAGTGCGCCGAACAAAACGCGGAACAAATTTTGATTTAAAGCTTTCGTGACTGCAGTAATTCATATTCTTAGCTCTTTCGGTAAAGTCACGTTGAAGGGAAACAATAAAATAATAAAATATATATAAAACAATAAAAAATTCTCACGACGTTTCAACGTGACTTTACCGAAAGAGCTAAGAATATAAAACGCGGAACAACCCGGAGAACACGTCAGAGAGCCTGTAGACCCAGGTGAAACTAAGCAAGACCCAGGTGAAACTAAGCCCAGGTGCCCGAGCGTCCGTGACCGCTGGTGTTCCGGTGGCCCATGCTGCTCTCCCGTCGCGGCCGTCCGTCGTGACGTTTGCACCGTGTGTTGCTTCACGCTCGTTATTTATTCGTGCGTCCAGCTCGTTAGCACTGCGTTTGTCTCGGCCGTGGGTCCGAACCGCCTTTTTTTTGTAACCGTGGGTGGCGCTGGGCATTTAACGAGTCCTTAATCAAAACCTGATGAGTTGTTATGAGTCGGTTGTTGCTTCCGATTGACCTTTCCTGCCTCGTTTTCACCTGTCTTGTTTGTATTGTCATGGGACCTCCTTTGCCAGTACCAAAATATAAGAATAGGTTTTCCCCTTTTTTCTGGCAACAAAACAGGTGTTAAGATGGTAAAACACCAAACTGAAACCTTTTACAAGGAATCATGCCTGCATTAAACACAATGGTTAATGCAGGCATGATTCCTTGTTTGCATCAAAACTGTCGCATTACAGGAAGGGGGGGAGGGGGGTGGAGAAAACCACGCAACACAAAAACAACCAACGAAAGTATTTTTTAACGAATTTTATTCGTACTATTCAACAGCCCCAATGTTGCAATTCTGCTTCACGGAATGGAATGGCGGTTGTGAAATGTGCGGTGCGTGTGGGACGGGTATAATGCCACTTGTCAAAGTAATGTATTTGGATGTGACGAAGTATAAGACATCTAGAATTGTATCTGCCGTGTTTCATGAGATGCTTGAGTGAGGGGCAGTTGAGTGTCTGCTCGCCCGCGATTCGATGCAACGCGTTTACCTGCTGCGAGGTTTTTGAGCGAAAATGAAAACTGACTTTTTTTTACAAAACATGTTTTTAATGTTTTTTTTATTTACCCCCAGAAGGATTTTGGGTGACATTTTTTTGTTTCTAACCAGCTGAAGGATTTACGTTGCTCGCCTGTTTGCTTGAACAACAACAACAACAACAAAATAACAGTACATTTCACATCGCGTAGATTTGCTCAGAATTCCTTTAAGTGAACTATTTTGCACAATAGAGATGTCATTACGAATATACACGTGCGCGGCGCTCACTCAATAGCTTGCACAGATCGCATAGTAACGAAATGTTGGTGTTTTATAGCGCAGAAACATATAAACGTTTTGGACATGCAACATGTCCCCTTAACCTTCGTTCGGGCGGTTGGTAACCATACTTATGATAACTTCAAGATAGTTTACAAACGCGCGTTTGTGTTTTACGTTTGTGGTTTAATTAAAAAATGAATAACGTATTGCTCTAATTGTCTTTGGAATGTGTCGCCGTGTTGCAGGGTTAATTTCATTATACTTTAATTTTATATTGCGACATTCATGCTCATAGCATCCCACATTGGTATGGTTGCAGTGGAACTCGCGCTTAAGAGGTGGTGTCAGTACACGAGCGGTGTTGTCAGTACACGTGAGGTGTTGTCAGTAAACCAGACGTGGTGTCAGTAAACCAGACGTGGTGTCAGTAAACCAGAGGTGGTGTCAGTAAACCAGAGGTGTTGTCAATACACGTGAAGTGGTGTCAGTACACGTGAGGTGTTGTCAGTACACGTGAGGTGTTGTCAGTACACGTGAGGTGTTGTCAGTACACGTGAGGTGTTGTCAGTACACGTGAGGTGTTGTCAGTACACGTGAGGTGGTGTCAGTACACGTGAGGTGGTGTCGGTACACGAGACGTGGTGTCGGTACACGTGAGGTGGTGTCAGTACACGTGAGGTGGTGTCAGTACACGTGAGGTGGTGTCAGTACATGAGAGGGGTGTGTTTATTATTTGGGGACCTTTGTTTTGTACAGAACCAAGAGGCTATGTGCTGCTCCTGCTGCTCTATGCCTGTAACTTCCCACTGTTGGCCAAAGCACCCCCCCTCCGCCTTATTGTCACCCATTATTCCTTCTTTTCCCCAGTTGCTTCTGTCTCGGTAGTGACCTCAGAATTCGTTCACCCGGCCAGGTGGCTCAAGTCAGAAGGTCGCACGTTCAGTTCGTGCTGGCAGATTTACTCGGCCCATCGTAACGCCGGGGTCGATTACAATTCCTTACCACTCTGTGGGGGTGGAGTTCAACAGTGATCATCCTATGGATTTATACTCGTCCCCACCATAGGAATGTGGAATTGACACCACTGGCTCGGAGCTGTGAACGAGGGATGAGCGCCTCCCTGATGGCTCAATAGAGTGTGGCGTCAGTTTGACCTCTCTCGTCGGCTAGTCACTTAAAAAAAAACATTTTCGTGACGTGATCAGTACCACAGTAATGAATTTACCGTGTAACAGGACACTACAGCGGATCATCGCAATACTGTACAGCAGAACCTGGATATAAGCACACCCCTTCTGAGCTAGGCCATGTGTGCTTATATCTGGCGTCGTGGTCTTGTATCAGAAGTTTACCTTTGCCCCCCCCCCCCAACCAGTGTAATGTAAGCGTGTGCTGCCTATATCAGAGCTGTGCGTTGCATAAGGTGTGCTTTGTCAATTATATACGTGGCTAATGTGTGTTTTCGTATGTTTGTCCAGGTAATTAATCTTAGATCTCCCCACCCGTGTTAAGTCAATGATGAGTCGTCTGAAAGTTTGTGATGTGTAGTTTGTGTGAACAGGGTCAGAATTCCATAAAAATGTGACCTTTTGATACGATTATTGAGTTTTTTGGGCCCGGTGCTGTTTTTTTAATCTGATCAACTAATTATAATAGCATCGCTCCTTATGGCATCCGCATTTCAACATCACACAGCAGACAGATATGTGCAGGAGCAGAGATACCCACAAATAAAACTGAACTCAATTTTTTTTATTTGACCAGATAAGGCCCACTGAGCTATATAACTGTTTTTTTAGAAGCGACCTGGCCACACGCGATAACTTAACGAGAAGTGGCTTATCACGTGAACATTATTTTACAGCAGCCAAATACTCTAAGCGCACGTTGATTCTAAATGTGGAGGGCAAGAGCCCTTAAAGGAAACTATTATTATTATTAGAGCATATGTTTGCAAATTTAAATTTTAGCACGAGTACGTGTCCCTAGTGTAGAACAATGATGCCTTGTAAATGTGTGTCTGTTTTGGTGTTTGGAAATTTTAACAGCCTGTATTTACGCTTTTCATTATATTAAATACTTGGTGACATTGAGCCCATCGCTGAAATTATCATCGTTGAAAACGTGACGGGCTTCTTCTCACTCGTTTAACACAAAGCAATCGTTGGGGCTTCTGTACTTTCTAAATGTCCTTTTGTACAGCTCAGAGGCTGGTTGCGCTAGAATAAAGCGGCTCGTTCTCAACGCCTTGTCACACGTCTGCATCATTAGTCTTATTATTCCGTTGTATCTATGTACAATATGTACAATATGTGTATGTATGTAGAACTTCTTTCGCACCGTACGTGGCCAACCGTGCCAATCGGAGGTGCCGGGTAAGGACAACAAACTAAACACAAAAAGCATTTCTAAAGAAACGAGCACGGTACTGCACCAGGGGAGCGTTCATATGTTAACGGTGACAATGATTCATCCAGTGTTAATCAATACAACACTGGATGGAGTTTCCTCCCCACGCCGCGTAAGTCACACCGTGGAGTCGTGCCGACGTTCCGAATTCCAAGCCTCGTCGAGGGCACATCCACCCACTGCTCCGCATGGATTTGTCCTGCCAAGAAAACGGTGGTGGTGGTGGCTCCTCCATAAACCGTGACAGAAAAAGCGACCGTTCGCCGCCGCCGCCGCTGCTGCTACTGCACGCACCTCTATCCACACGTGGGACATTAGAGATGACTCCCCCCCCCCCCCTGCCCCACACCGTGCAGGGACTGTGACCAGCCGAATCACACAGTGGACCCCACTGCGTTCTCGACGGGGCGGTACCCGCCGCGCTACTCCCCGAAGCTGTCGGCATCGGGCACAAACCAAAAAACCTGGACGACACGTTGAACTTCTTTCACACCGTACGTAGCCAGCAGCGCTAATCTGAGGTGTTGACGAAGAACGACCAACTTGAACACGAGGCAATTCAAGGTAGATCTAGATTTTAAAATGGGCACACGCGTGATTCGGAGTTATACGAAGAGTCATCGATTCGGTGATGGTCACAGAATTCCTCCACTCAAATGTGTGGTTTGTGTGTGTACAGTGAGGGAAAAAAGTATTTGATCCCCTGCTGATTTGTACGTTTGCCCACTGACAAAGAAATGATCAGTCTATAATTTTAATGGTAGGTTTATTTGAACAGTGAGAGACAGAATAACAACAAAATCCAGAAAAACGCATGTCAAAAATGTTATAAATTGATTTGCATTTTAATGAGGGAAATAAGTATTTGACCCCCTCTCAAAAAGAAAGATTTCTGGCTCCCAGGTGTCTTTTATACAGGTAACGAGCTGAGATTAGGAGCACACTCTTAAAGTGAGTGCTCTTAATCTCAGCTTGTTACTTGTATAAAAGACACCTGTCCACAGAAGCAATCAATCAGATTCCAAACTCTCCACCATGGCCAAGACCAAAGAGCTCTCCAAGGATGTCAGGGACAAGATTATAGACCTACACAAGGCTGGAATGGGCTACAAGACCATTGCCAAGCAGCTTGGTGAGAAGGTGACAACAGTTGGTGCGATTATTCGCAAATAGAAGAAACACAAAAGAACTGTCAATCTCCCTCGGCCTGGGGCTCCATGCAAGATCTCACCTCGTGGAATTGCAATGATCATGAGAACGGTGAGGAATCAGCCCGCGAACTACACGGGAGGATCTTGTCAATGATCTCAAGGCAGCTGGGACCATAGTCACCAAGAAAACAATTGGTAACACACTGCGCCGTGAAGGACTGAAATCCGCAAGGTCCCCCTGCTCAAGAAAGCACATATACATGCCCGTCTGAAGTTTGCCAATGAACATCTGAATGATTCAGAGGACAACTGGGTGAAAGTGTTGTGGTCAGATGAGACCAAAATGGAGCTCTTTGGCATCAACTCAACTCGCCGTGTTTGGAGGAGGAGGAATGCTGCCTATGACCCCAAGAACACCATCCCCACCGTCAAACATGGAGGTGGAAACATGCTTTGGGGGTGTTTTTCTGCTAAGGGGACAGGACAACTTCACCGCATCAAAGGGACGATGGACGGGGCCATGTACCGTCAAATCTTGGGTGAGAACCTCCTTCCCTCAGCCAGGGCATTGAAAATGGGTCGTGGATGGGTATTCCAGCATGACAATGACCCAAAACACACGGCCAAGGCAACAAAGGAGTGGCTCAAGAAGAAGCACATTAAGGTCCTGGAGTGGCCTAGCCAGTCTCCAGACCTTAATCCCATCGCCAATCTGTGGAGGGAGCTGAAGGTTCGAGTTACCAAACGTCAGCCTCGAAACCTTAATG